TTCATTCGTTGATGTCTTATGGCATCACACTGTGGGGTAATTCAACTGAGTCGATTAGGGTATTTATTCTTCAAAAACGTGCACTAAGAACAACAGTAGGCATAAAAAAGGGTCAGACCTGCAGAAACCTTTTTAAGAAATACAATATAATGACCATGTACTCACAATATATTTATGATATAATAGTTTATGCGCGTCAAAACTTGGCTACTTATGAGCGACGTACGGGCGGAGGCCGAGCGTTACGAAACGCGGGAACACTAAAATCCGTTGCCCACCGTACCGAACTTGCAACTAGAAATCCGCGGGTAATAGGTCCCCGATTCTACGAACATCTACCCACAGACCTGAAAAGTGTTAGAAACGATGCAACGTTTTGTACCCGACTAAAAAACCTTTTATTGGATATTGAATTGTACAGTGTCGATGAGTTTCTTTTGAAACAATTTTAATTTTATTTTATTCGACAAGCAGTAGTTATACTACTTTATTTTATATTCATTATTATTATTATAATTTTATTACTGACGATCATAGTTATCCCTTGACATTGTATTTCCAATTGTAATATTGTGACATTGATAACATGAAATAAACGATTCTATTCTGTTTTTAAGTGTAAAAATTATACCTATGGCCATTGACTTACAAATAAATGGACGACGGGTCTAATACAAAAACCACGAAAAAAATGTCCCAAGTCAACCTATTTAAACGTAGTGACATGTAAAGGAATATGAAAAAGCTAAAACGTTGAATTTAAATTGTAATGTCATCGCAGTACTGTCTAATTTTGCTTGCTTCGCTGTCAGTCGAACAAACGAAGACTAAAGCGTGAATGACGCTCTGTATACGATTTTAACGCCCTATAAGTTCGGACACTTTTTAGCGCGGACCCTACGTCCATATAATTGTAAGTCAATGCCTATGGCTAAATAATTATTTGACTTTGAGACTTGAAAGATTTCTTGATTAAAAAAAGCTATTATAATATATCAAATTTTTTTTAAGACTGGAATGTTAGAGACAAACTTAGGTAAATGGTTATCTGTTATAATACATATAAGTCATTATCTGTAATATTTTAAAATTGTAGTTATCATAATTATTATAATATTATGATTATAATATGTAATATAATAATGTTTAATAGTAATTCTGGTAGCCATAATATAATTACAATAATATAATTATTTACATAATCGCACTGCTATTACAATAGTGTTTTAACTCAAAACATGTGAAATTCAAGATCCTATAATTATTGAACGTAAAATTTGATTCTCTACACGTCAATAAAACCGTCGTTAGATTTTGTAAAAAACAAATAAAAGATATCTACTTAACTCAAAATAAGACACAATTTATGTGAGCTAGTACTGGCCGAAGCAGTCTTCATTCAGAAATATGTTATTATATATTCCCTTTTATTGTTAAATGTATTTGCGCAAGTGCGAAATTGTTTAGATTTGTGTAAGAAACTTAACCTACGCATAAATTAAATAAATAACGTACACACTCAACATAGCCCCGCACTAGGGAAACCCTGGCGCGGGTGCCATGGGCACACACATAGACAACCACAAATTACACCCAAACTCACGAGAGAAATAAATGTAAGCCATACAAACATTTCTCCCGGCCCGGGAATCGAACCTGGGACCTCTGCGTGGCAGTCCGGCATGGTAACCGTTCGGCCACGGAGGCAGTTTTAATGATCTTTCACGGGAAGTGAATTGTGTGAAAAGTTTTTCATCGATTCTGGGAAAATACACTTTTTGAGTTAATAAACTATTGTATTAACAGTGCCATATCGATGCCTTACTTTCTCAAACTCGTACCTTATAAAGAGTGGTTATTAAGGAGATGACAAAACTTACTATTTATTTTAAATTTCTCATCAAGGCTGCTAATTTGGATGCATTACTTTGTGTGAATATGAAGGATATTTGACGTGAAATCAGCCTGCAACATTTGTATATACAATCCATTTTTTGCTTTTGCTTTAAGTAACTTTGTGCTTTAAGAAACGAGTTTCAGAAAGTAAGGCGACCGATATATCAAGCATGCAACGTATTTTAATTTTATCTTAAGTGTAACTTCGCTACGGCCAGACAGGGTATCTATTACATGTATGTATCAAAAATAGTTGTAAGTTTCATCAGTAACATCCATATGAAACACTAATAAATGAATATGAATTATTTTAAGTAGGTTAAGTCAATAATACGAGCTACCGTAATAATACGAGGACTTAACCCCTCAAACACAAAGCCGTGGTTCACCCTATAACCGGCTTGCGGTTAACCGTGTAAAACCGGAGTTGGAAGGAACCTCGTAAGAGCCTTTGCACACGGCGTATTTTACAAGCGCCGCGCTGTAGTGAATCAAATCAAACGCGCGAAAAATATGTTTGTACATAGCGATGCAAGCAAGAAACTTAAATAGAATTTCATGTTATTGCTTTTTTTCAGTAGCAGTTAGAGGTCCATTTAAAAGA